CATATCTGATTTTGAAGAACCTTTTCTTTATGAATTAAAAATTGAGAAGATTACTAAAAATTTGAGGAAACAGACAAAACTAAAGAATAAAACATGCTAAAAATTTGAGGAAACAGATAAAACTAAAGAATAAAACATGTTAGCGTGACACAATTTTTGAAGAAAACAACACAATCGTTGAATTCGAAGCAAAAACAGAACAAATGGCCAAGGAACACAAGTTGAGAGAGCTAGCACCACCATCTATGAATCAGTAGCCTCTCTGTATTACTTGTCCAGATCTGGACATTACGTTTGAGCTGAAATCTGGTCTAATCCACTTGTTGACCAAGTTTAGAGGTTTAGAGAATGAAATCCTAAAGAAACACCTTAAGGAGTTCCATGTAGTACTCTCAAACAAAAAGCCACAAGGAGTGTCCAAAGAACAGATTAAGTTAAGAATATTTTCCTTTTCGTTGGATGATGCAGCCAAAGACTTGATGTTCTACTTGTCTCCAGGTTCAATTACAACATAGACAGACATGGTGAAGTCATTCTTAGATAGGTTTTTTCCTGCTTCCAAAGTTATTGGGATGAGGAGAGACATATGTGGGATTGAAAAAAAAGACTCGAAGAGCCTCCATGATTATTGGGAAAGATTTAAGTGACTATGCGCAAGCTGCCCATAACATGATATATCAAAGCAATCCCTCATACACTACCTTTATGAAGAGTAATTTTTATCGAAAATAAAAAACGTTAGATGCAGCTAGTGGTGGTGCCATAGTGAACAAGACACCATGAGAAGCCAGAGAATTAATAGCAATTATAGTAGCCACATCACAACAATTTGAAACCACACGAGACACCAAAAAAGGTGAATAAGATGAGTGTCTCTTCTTTCAAATCTCAAATTTCATAGCTAACCACGTTAGTGTAAAACATGGTTGTAGGAAACACTCAACGAGCAAGAGTTTATGGGATCTGTGCACATTTTGGCCATACTACGAACATATGCCCTACATTACAAGAAGATGACCAACAACATGACAACATGATAGGAGGATTTCCAAATCAGCCGCAAAGAAGGTATGACCCCTTCTTCAACACGTACAACTCGGGATGGAGGGATCACCCCAACTTCAGTTATGGATCAAGACAGCAAAACTTCCAAATGTAGCCGTCAAGGTTGCTTCCACAACAACAACCCGCACCTCCAAAATAAGCTATGTCCCTCGAAGAAATATTGAAATATTTTACTACCAACAATCAACAATTCCAACAAGAGTAAACATTCAGAATTGAAAAACCCAAGTGAGCCAACTGACAATGTCCATAAGTAAGCTAGAATCTCGAGGTAAATTGCCTTATCAAATAGAGGTAAATCCAATGCCCAATATGAGTGTTGCCACACTGCGAAGTGACAAAGAGCTATTGAAAAATTCTCGTTGGACAAGCCTTGTGTAAGGCTTACGGAAAGGCACATAGTTAGAGACTGTAGTGGATGATAAGACAGATGAAATAAAACTAAATTACGACCAGCTAGTACCAATTGCAATTAGTCCACCTTTTCTAGAAAGGTTTGCAAAATTAAAGAAAGAGAAAAACGACAAAGAAATTCTAAAAACCTTTCGCAAAGTTTGGGTAAATATCCCTTTATATGATGTAATTAAACAGGTACCTCGGTATGCTATTAAACATGTACCTCGATATGCTAAATTTCTAAGGGAATTGTGAACTTAAAAAAAGAAGTTAAGCTGCATAAAAGACGAGTGTGGAGGAGAATGTCTCGGCTGTAATTCAAAAAAAAATTACTCCCCAAGTGCAAGTATCAATGTACGTTTGTTATTTTTTACAAAATAAGTATCCTAGGTATAAAGAAAGGTATGTGTGATTTGGGAGCTTTAATAAATGTAGTGCCACTCTCCATCTATTTTAAGCTGAATACTGGCCCATTGAAGGGGACCGCATCATCATCCAACTAGCTGATAGGTCAGTTGTCTACCTTGAGGGAGTTCTAAAAGATATACTAGTCTAGGTAGATAATCTTATTTTCTCTGCTGACTTTTATGTATTAAATATGGAAAATGACAAATCATCCAACTCATCTGATCTTTTGCTAGGTAAGTCATTCTTTAGTACGATCAAGATAAAGATAGACGTACAAGATGACACCCTCACCATGGAATTTGATGGAGAGGCTGTGAAATTTAATATTTATGATGCCATGAAGTACCCTAACGATTTATCTTGTGTGTATGGTGTGGACATCATAGATTCTATAAATAAAAAATGTTTTGACTTGTGCCATAGTGATGAGTTAAATGTTGTACTCTGTAATGGTTTAAATGTGGATAGTTTAGGGACTTCGGAGGAAGATTATATTGCTGAAAGAAATCTACAAAAGACAGTGTTTGAACTAAAAGCACTTAAACAACAAAAATGTAATACACTAAATATTTATCTTCCTGTTTCTCACATGAAGCTTCCACCTTCTCTTTTGCAGGCACCCAAGCTAGAGCAGAACCACTACCCAAGCATATAAAGTATATGTTCTTGGGAGAAGGAGAGACTCTTCCCAAAATAATTTTTAATAACCTGAGCAAAATAGAAGAAAACAGGTTAATTAAAGTGCTCCAAGAACACAGAGAAACAGTTGGATAAACTATTACTGATATTAAAAGGATATTACCTTCTATGTGTATGCACAGAATACTACTAAAGGATGACAACAAGTCTAATAGATAAGCACAGAAACGCCTGAACTTGTCAATGATGGAAGTTGTGAAGAAAGAAGTCCTAAAACTACTTGATGTTAGGGTTATCTACCCAATTTCAGATAGTAAATGGGTAAGTCCGATGTAAGTAGTGCCCAAGAAAACAAGAATAATTGTGGTTGAAAACTAAGATGGTAAGTTAGTATCCACTAGGGTGCAGAATGGTTGGAGGGTTGGTATAGACCACCGGAAGCTGAATGCTTCCACTTAAAAAAATCACTTTCTGTTCTCTCATTGATCAAATGTTGGAATGGTTGGTCGGATGGGCACATTACTATTATCTTAATGGTTATTCAAGCTTCTACCAGATCCTAATTAAACGTGAAGATCAAGAAAAGATAACCTTCACATGTCCCTTTGGCACCATCGCCTACAAGAGGATGCCCTTCAACCTTTGCAATGCCTCAGCTACATTTCAGAGATGTATGGTCAATATTTTTTTTCCAATTTTGTAGAGTATGTAATGGAGGTCTTCATGGATGATTTCACGATTTACAATGACTCCTTTAATGAATGTCTTGCCAACCTCATAAAAGTACTAAAACAATGCCTTGGTCTAATATTGTCTTGAACAATGAAAAATATCATTTTATGGTTCACCAATGGTTGATTTTGAGAGATGTGGTGTTTAAAAGGGATAGAGGTGGACAAGGCAAAGGTTAATGTGATTAAATCCCTACCTTACCCCATGAGTGTGTGAGAAGTGTAATTTTTTCTTAGACATACGGGGTTTTATAGACGATTCATCAAAGACTTCTCCAAAATTACCCAACCTCTATGCCAACTGCTACAAAAGGAAGTGATATTCAAATTTAATGCATCTTACACAGAAGTATTTGATATAATCAAGGAGAAACTGATGTCGGCACCAATCATGCAGCCACCAAACTGGGAGATTGCCCTTTAAAATTATATGTGATGCTAGCAAACAGGTCGTGGGTGTAGTCCTTGGGCAAAGTATAAATTGGGACCTACATGTGATCTATTATACTTCAAGAACTCTTAACAATGCTCAGGCCAATTACTCAACTATAAAAAAAGAGCTCTTGACTGTCGTATTTACCTTGGAGAAATTCTGTTCTTACTTGTTTGGTGCTAAGGTGATTGTGTTTTTAGGCCATGCAGCATTGAAATACTTACTCAAGAAGAAAGAGGCAAAATCAAAGCTAATTCAGTGGATAATCCTGTTATAGGAATTCGATTAGAAATACGAGATAAAAAGGGTATAGAAAATCTTATTGCTGAGCACCTTAGTTGCCTACCGGTGAGTGAAAAGCCTTTGTCGTTAAAGGATGATTTTTCATATGAACATCTTTTCTCAATTTGACAATCAACACCATAGTACACTAATATTGTTAATTATTTAGTCACCAATACACTCCCAAGTGAGCTGTCCAAAGTAAAGATGGATAAGATCAAGAAAAAAGCTTGACATTATATTTGGGATGATCCCTATTTATGAAAATACTGTGCAGACCAGACCATTCGTTGTTGTGTCCCTGAAATCCATTCTGAACTTCTGTCACTCTTAAGGCTTGCGAAGGGCATTTCAACCTTAAATGAATAGCCTGCAAGGTGTTGGAATGTGGCTTGTTTTTTGCCCTTCTTATTTCATGACACATGCATCTACTACAAAACATGTGAGAACTGCCAAAGGATATAAAACTGTCTAAAGAAAAATTTGAAATTCTTAAAGAAATAATCGGTGTCTATCACAAAAATATCAAAGAAGAGTGTTAAATAACTAATATTTTAATTCCAGCATATAAAATTTTTTAAATAGTAGTTACAGCAAATAATGTTTTTTTATAAAAAAATTAGTTTTAAATAAATTTTTTTCAAAAAGAACAATAGATAATAATTGAATAAAATCTTTCAAGATTTTAACAATTATTTTTAAAATTTTCAATTATAAAAGTCTAAATATCGAATATTAAAAGTAAAAATTTTATTTTATTTTTAATAAATAATTGGTATTGAATAAAAGAATATATATTAAAATTTCATTCTAATTTTTTTTTTTTGTTTAAGTGTTAGCTATTCTCTTTTAAACTAACAAATTGTTTCTATACCTTATCTCCAAATGTAAAATCTATTAACACCCACACACAACTACTAGAACTACAACTATAAATCATCATATACTACTCAGACATCACAAAACATATTTAAATTACTTTTTAATTATAACTTTTATACCATTAAAATTCTCACTAATATCAAGCAAATTCCAACAAATAAATCTCCTTGAAAATGTTATATTATCAATAAACTAAATCGTTTACATTTACAAAACACAACATTCAAAATTTGTTCAACGAACTCTCGTCATCATCTATTTTAATAATAACAAACATATATACACATATCTTCGTATTGAAAACACAATTGAATAGACAATTCAAGCTTGAGACAACTGCCACCATGGTCTGCTTCTCTTATATTTATCTACAAGTTATTGCTAATTATAACCTGTAGAAACATTATAGAAGAGGAAACCTCATGGCATCTACAAGTATACATATATATATCCTTTTCTATCGTATTTGGAAGTTCATTGTCTTTATGCAGTAGGCAAACAAGAAAGCAAAGAACACTGTGAAAGCAACCAAGACTGCAGCAACTGGTCCCATGAAGTTTGGATCATACCCAAAATGATTCTCAATGAACCATTTAATGGATTGATCAGCCATCCCTGGTACTTTAATTTTGTCTTCTACATCACCATACTGTGAAACAATCAATCCGTAAACTGTCCATGCTACCGGGCAAATCCAGTAATACCAAACCCACCATTTGGGAATTTTCTGAAATTTCAAATAAATAAAACAACATTGAATAAGTGTCATAATGCATCAAGAAGTTATTCATTCAACTTTTTCTTTTATTTAGGTTATGAAACGCTTTTATGTACCGGTCTAGGGATAAGGAAGCCGGGGAAAGGATGGAGGAGGGAGTAAAATGTTCCAGCAAAGATGGTTGTTACTTGGTGGTTTGGTGTGATAAAGACGGTCATTTTTCCGTATAATGTGAAGTAAAGGAAATATAAGAAGGTGACGCACAAGAACCCAAATAACTTGGCTGCTGTCCATTGAAAGCTGACCATGGCATACACAATAAGTGTATAGTAGGTTGTTTGAATGAAAACATATGGTAGTTCACATAACACCTGCAAAACATAGAGAATAAGTAAATCAAATATGAGTCACTACATACCCAAGCTAATTTAATTAGAACAAGGAGAAGAAACAAAAAAGAAGAGTTAGAAGTTTATGAGTTTTATGATGCTTGAGATGTCAAAATAACACACTAGAAAATAAGCAGTCACCTGAGCCATGGCATAAGGTAATGCAGAATACATCCCGGCTGCTCTTTCTCGATAAAACACCGTCCTCTCTATGGCTACGATTGGTTGCACACTAGAGCAGTTATTGACTCCAACGAACAAGACAGCAGAATACATCGCCCCAATGATCGTGGTAAGATCACTAACGCTAGTCCTGAAATCATAAGCATAGAAAAGTAAATATAATTTCTCACTATATTTGTGCAAATCACAGACAGGGTTTGTCATTTTAGTGAAGTTGACACATACCTTTTAGTGCCAACCCGCCAGAAAATTGTACCAACCATGAGAGCAGCAGCTAGAGTGAAGAAAAACCTCACAAGATTATAATCAGGACTTCTCCAATAGGTCCACCATTGCTTCCAGAGGCAGGATTTGAACTGCCCCCATGTGGATTGTGAGTACTGAGTCGGGAAATACAGGTCTTGTGTTCCTGGTGCTGGCGTGCTCAATTCTTTTACCAAAGCCTTGTTCCGCCTGCTCATGGTCACACACAAAAAAACTAGTTGAGAATCGGAGGGAAGTTATCATCATCAACATTGTTATGTTTTATATATCTATACTTACTGATACAAGGATGATGACTTGTAGTGTTCAGCAAAGTCCATCCCAAGACGAACTTCCGCTGCCACTGAGCTCACTTCTAACATCCATGTTGCTGGATTGTATTTTTCCTTAATTTTGGGGACTCCCGGAATTGCCTGCAATTTAGCATCAGTTAGAATCAGATAACTTTTTAGCTCTTGTGCAATGCAAATTGGATATGGAAGATCTTAAGTCGTGAATGCACCTCAAAATATTCAATGATCTTGTGAGAATTTTGACCCAATTGTCCTGCATAGATCACCTGTCCACCTCTCTTCATCAGCAACAACTCATCAAAGGCTTCGAAGATATCAATGCTAGGTTGATGAATTGTGCAGACAACAGTTCTACCCGTGTCCACGGTGTTCCTCACTGTCCTCATAACAATAGCAGCTGCTCTTGCATCAAGACCTGATGTTGGCTCATCCATGAAAATGATGGAAGGATTAGCAACAAGCTCTACTGCAATTGTCAACCGCTTTCTTTGTTCTGTTGACAACCCTGTAACTCCAGGAAGGCCAACTATAGCGTCCTTCAGATTATCCAACTCAACCAATTCCATCACTTGATCCACAAAAATCTGACGACAAGAAGATCAGAGTCAATGTTAGCTGACAACAACTTGTGTTAAGAAAATATTATGGAGAGGCTGGAAAGCCACACAAGCCGTAATTCTTACCATCTTTTCCCGTTTGCTAACTTCTTTAGGGAGCCGCAGGAAAGCGGAGTAGATCAAGGATTCTCTAACAGTGACTTGGGGTGAGTGGATATCATTTTGTTCACAGTAGCCAGAAATTCTTGCAAAGGTCTCCTGGTTCTTGCAATATCCTGAGATTCTGATATCCCCTTCAATGTATCCACCAGTCTTTCTTCCTGCTAACACATCCATCAATGTTGTCTTTCCGGCTCCACTGACTCCCATCAGCGCAGTCAAAACCCCAGGCCTAAATGCACCTGTTACTTCCCGAAGTAATTGGAGTCTGTCTTCTGCTACTCCCTGTTCCTTCATTTCCTGTTATGATTATTGAATATGAGCAATAACGGTGAAAAGAATCTTAATATGCTTGACTTGAAGGGAACTTGATCAGGTTGAACTATTAAATGGAAGAAGAGACATGATTCTTACCGGAGGCATGTCCACATAGTAGTTCACTGTATCGAAGGACATTGCGAGAGGAGTGAATGGAAGAACCATCCCTCTCTTGGGCGCAACACCTTTAACAGTGTCGAATGCTGAATCACTTCCACTTATTGCATTGGGACTAGACTGACTGGTCATTACTGCCATTTCTCCTGTCAATATAAGTAACATGATAACTTCATTATCTCAGAATTTACTTTAAGGCTAAGAATGAAAACATTGACCATACTGTTCAGCTTACTCGAATTGTTTGCATCTGGAGATCGGAAAACTGGATCATTCGTTGATTTTGTCGCTTTTAGTCTTTGTTCCTCAGTAGAACCTGCTCGGTTAGTTTCCATCTCCTCTGCTGTTTCTTCAGAAATTATGGCTTGTGACTTCCCAGGAGCTATAACATCAAAAGATTAAAGATCAGTTATCTCCATGAAGACAATCTTTTCCTTAGGACTTGAAATGAATGTTGACTTACGTGCTAGATACATGAGAGCCAAGGTGAAGAGTACATTGAAGAGGACAACAAATCCAATAAGTGCTAGTACACCAATCCAAAACCAGTTTTTATCGGGGAATATGTCAAAGTTCTTGAGCACTGCTACTCCCAAACTGGTAGTACCGTCCGAAGCCTGCAGTACAAGTCAATTCAAGTAAGAATTCGGCACTTAATCCAGGATAAGATTTAACTCTCTCTATCACCAAGTTTGACAACGCAATTAAGTTTCATTTCTGCTAAAAGAAAATACCTTTTTGTTCAACCATCTCGGAGCAAGCAGTTCTGTAACACTCAAGGAATTGAAAGCATATGTGAGGGGAGATACCCAGTAAGCCCAGCTCCACCATACTGGAATTTGACCTGCAATCAAATAACCAATTCAAATGTCAGTACACGTAACTTACAGCAGAGTGAGTTAATCTTGGACACGTGAAAGAAAGTTGGAAAATTGAAATGGGGAGAGTTGTTTAAAAGACTAACCCTGAGGAAGGATGAAACCTCCAAGCATGAAAATAAGGAGAAGAGTTAAAGCACCACCAGTGTTGGCAATAATCATTGTTCTGCAAACTCCGGCAATGAGCCTAAAGAGTCCAGCGGCCATTTGTTGGATCAAGAAGACAAGCAGAAATTGCTTAAAAAACCTACACAAAAGAAGCCATGAAAATAGGATGGTAAGAAAATAGTGATTGTATATCACATGAATTTAGGGAAAGCGTAAACAAAAGTTAAGTTTACCTGCTGGGTTCAGGGGTAAATCCCATTGAGAAATAAGTCATGATCATCCAAACAACAGATTCCAAAACCGAAATAGGTATTCTAAGCAAGAAAGTTGGAAGAGTAAAAGCCCAAGGAGGATGAAACATAAGATCTCTCTGCTTGTAAAAAACTGGGAGCCTTGTAATCATAAGGGCTAGCTCAGAAAACCCATTAAACATGTTAATCACCATAGTGAACAAGAGAGCACCAATGAACAAGGCTCCATCATTTTCATTCCTTGTACGCATTCTAGGTTTTATGAAGACTGTAGCTCCAATGGCGGCTACAATAATAAGCTGAACAGTCTTGAAGACATAAACAAATGAGTTACGCTTGATCAGTAACCATTCTTTGTCCCAGCAAGCTCTGAGCAATTCCATTTTTGGAACAGAATATTTGTTGAAGACAAGGGCTGCCCTATGGCCTTGGGGCTTGTCATAAGGAACTGATAACTGGTTTTCCAGCCTTATTCCAACGTGAAAACTCTTAAACCTCTCTACAAATTCAGGCACTGAAATGTATCTGTACGGTCTGCTCCTGTCTGCCCAGTATTGCTCCTGGTCCTTCTTTGAGGTAACCTGTAAGCATTTTCACTTTTCAGAAATGGGCCTTGTTATATACGATGTACATATATATATGTGTGTGTGTAAAATTTTAGTTGTTGTTCATTAGATTGGAATTAACCAAAAGAGTAGTCCAGAGCAGAAACCCAAATAGTTTTCATTTTGGTTCAGACAAATCCGAACTGTTTAGCAGAAAGAAGGATATTCATTATTTATTTATTTATTTATAAGATAATCACAAACTTGGTGTGAGGGTAATAGTTTTCAATTTTTGCTCCGTTTAGCCCTATCCCCCTCTAGAGTAGGCGCTATAAAAATCACTATCCTCCTCTAGAATAGGCTCTATAAAAACCGGACGATCCTACTTACTTAGTTAAATAAATTCTTAAATAATAATATTAAAGATTATTTTTATTGATAATATTAATAATAATAACGATATTAATAATTAATTTTTTCATTAAACTTGATGATGAGTGAATTCACGTATAAAAATAAAAAAAAAAGTTTATTTTGTGTCACTTTTATTACCTCTTGTAAGAAATCAGCGGTTCCTTTTCTCTCCGGACATTTAAAGCCACAACTCTCGAAAAACTGAAGGATGTGTTCGCGTGGGCCCTGGTACACAATCTGACCCTCCGATAACAGTATGATATCATCAAACAGATCAAACGTCTCGGGTGCAGGCTGTAGCAGGGACATCAAGATTGTGGCTTCAGTGAGATGCACAATCTGCTGCAAACATTTTACAATTTGAAATGTGGTGGAGCTATCTAGACCCGTTGATATCTCATCCATGTACAGAGTCTTCGTGGGTCCCACGATCATCTCTCCTGTGATGATCATCAATTAATTTATTTAATACAAAAAAAAAAGAAAAAGAAAGGATTAAGACTGTTTATAAATTTTATATATATATTTTTTTTCCCCCAATACCCGAAATTAATCAAAGTGGAATATAAATTAAAAAGTCAATAGAAAAAAAATAAAATAATGTGTTTAAAAAGAGATCAACTTTTTGTGGGTTGGTCTAATTCCAACCTTTGATTTTGACTCTTACAAATTTTTGTGAAAAATTAATGTGTTAAGTATAACAAATATATTTTTAAATAAAACATGTAAAAATTTATTTTTTTATAAAATAAAAAGAAATAAGGAGAGAAAACAAGTCAGAGTAAACCAAAATGAAGATATATTATTATTATTACCTGTTGTTACTCTCTTCTTTTGACCTCCTGATATCCCTCTTTGCATTTCATCTCCCACAATTGTGTCCTTGCAAATGTCAAGCCCCAAAATCTGTCCAATTCATCCAAATTTAGGAAACCATTTTGCATTTTTTGCATTTGGGTGTTTTCTAAATATTTTGTTGGTGATTTAAAAAAATTGAGTGTATAAAAAAGGCCCGGCCTGGCCTAGCTTGAGCATGGCAATCAAGGAGAGTAGGTGTGTGAGGAGAAATTTTGGACCATATTTTTTTTTTTATAGAGAGACTGAGACAAAGACTTTTTAGATGATTTGTTTGAATCTGATTTGGTAAAAAGTCAGAACATATCCAATCATGCATTTTGTTTTTTTGGTGTGTAAAAAAAAAAAAAACTTTTTTACTGGCCAATTATTGTATGTATGTATACTTTACTTTGAGAGTGTAATCGGTGATAAGACTGCTCTCTACTCCTTTCATTGCTGTAGCCTGAAATTCTCACACATAAATATATATGTAAGTAAATTAGAATTTAAAAATATTAATTAACTACTAATTAATAATAATACCTTCATGAATAGATCTAGTTCTGCTTCTGGGAGAATTCCAGCATCCTTTTCTCTTCTTGCGAGCTCACTCAGGAGTTCTAAAATAATATTAATTAACTATTAAAACAAAAACAAAAAAATATATATATATATATATATAAATAACAATAACAATCACAATACCATATCGAGAACCAACTCCTTGGCACCGAGCCGAGAAATCTAGGGTTTCTTTGACAGTCATTTCTCCAACATGAACATCATTTTGGCTAATATATGCAGACGTTTTTCTTGGCACAAACTCATTCAGCTTATACCCATTGTAACTAATTTCTCCATTAACCTGCAGCTCCATTCAAATTAACATTAAATTAATTTTTTGTTTTTGTTCGCTTATTATATACGGAATAAATTATAAATTAAACCTTTAGACTTTTGTCCAATTTTCCAGCCAATGCCAGCAAAAGAGTTGTTTTCCCAGAAGATGGTGGACCTAACAAAAGCGTCATCCTGTCACCAAACACCCCCCCCAAGTCAATCATTTCAAGCTGGATTCTAATTGATGTAAATACATGTCTACCATAATTCCACTTGAAATTTTATAGTTTACTCAACATTTAATTAATTAATTAATTAATTCAACAATTTGATAAGCTAAATTTGAATATTAAATCAACCTCGACGGTTTTATAATGCCGGAGACGTCTTTAAGGATGCTGAGCTTCGTGCGCTTGGCCAATCTAATCCCCAGTATACCCAGAGCCGATTCTGCAATGTTCCTTGCAGCATTTGGAATTGTCGGGAGAGCTCGACTGCCTACGAAACAGTCGGCTTCGATGTTTAGATGCTCAAACCGAACTTCTACTGTTGGTAGCCGAATTCCCACCCTGTAATTAACGTAACATTGAATTTTAGTCTAAATTCTAATTCTATGTAATAGTTTTTAATCGACAATGTAATTTATCTGCTCCAAATTTTAAACAATTCAAATTAGGTAAAGATAGTGAATGATTGATTCTCTTATGAAGCAAAAGCAAACAAAGCTGTAAAAAAAATTATTCTTGCACTGAATTAATTTGTTTGTCTTTACTCAGCAAATAATAACAAAATAGAAATTAATATAAAAGGGGAATTGTCAACTACAATTATTATTCTGCAACTTGTTTCTTAATATTCATACCCTCCTTTTATTCTATAATTACATTATATAAAATATAATTTGATATAATAATTGGGAAAATTAAGATGCCCATGATTAATATATATACTGAATGTATAAGCTGTCCTAATCTTCTCAAATTTTTTAAAGAAACTAAAATTTGAAGAAATAAAAACTGTTAAAAAAGAAAAAAATAAAACATACTTATCGATTCTGTTTCTGAACTTCTGAAGGAACTTCTCGTTATCTTCCTCGGCAACTCTGAAGAGCATGTCGATGAAGTTTTGTCGATCGTTCATGTCGAGTTTTGTGACATCAACTTCTTTATGAACAATTTTGTTTCCCAGAATCTCGTGGTCGACAAATGATTTCATGATTCCTGTTCTCAGCCGATCGTATGTCGGAAGTTTCTCCAGCGCCGCCCATTTCAAAGCCTCTTCGTCTTCGTCGATTCGGCTCGTCCGCCGAGAGTGCTTGGCGCTCGCAAACATTTCCTCCATGCTCCAGGTTGCTCGGCTCATGCTCCGGCTTATGCTGTTGCTCACCAGATGGCTCGCTCGCCGACTTGAACTCCTTCCCGTCTTCTCCATCTTCTACAAATTCAAATATATATATATATATGTATGTATTGGTTATGAAACCTCAAGCTTAATCTCAGGAATCAGACAGAAGAAATTACGATTACTTACTTGGTCTGGTCAGGAGATTGTAGAAAAAATAAGTTGAAGCTAAATTGTTTGTTTGCTGTGTTTGGTGGAGAGGAGTAGTTGAATTACATGAACGAATTTTCCTCTGCAAAAATTCTTGGAAATTTTCTTTTTTCTCTCTCCACCTCTCTGTTTTGAGATTGAAGAAGAGGGAGGAGTGAGTCTATTTCGGAAGGAAGGAGTTGTGGGTATTTATATATATATATATAGATATATACACACACACATATATATTTGTTTGGAAGGATATTATTAAATTAAAAATGATGTGAGTTGGATGGCTTGGCTGACTATTATTCAAACGTGATAGGCAGAGCCCATTTCCTCTGTGCTTCTTCTGTAAAAATATTGGTTAAAGGTGTATTGAAAGTCAAGTTGCCAAACTATATATTATATCACATGTGCTTCTTATAATCATATAATAATATTGAATATATATATATATATATATATATATGTTTTGTGTCTTTATCGAGATTTTCCGTCTCAATCTATATGGCCGGATGGTTGTATCAAGATTTAGAATTATTTAAAATGTGTAAATTAATTTAGTTTATAAAATAAATATTACCGACATAATTGTATAAAAATTTAAGGTTAAAGACTTTGAATGATGTAGTTGGTAGTTACCTTTGTACATTTTTAGAGACTTATGAGAATGATTCAAACGAAAAGTGTTTCTAAAATTAAGTGTTAAGTAAAATTTTTTTATTACAAATTAATACTTCCATTTTTTGGTCCAGTTAATTTTTTTTTTTTAATTAAAATAAATCTTGTTTTAAAGAATTAGACAATAATGAATTACAATATATATATCTATGTTGAGTTACATAAATAAACCAATGAAATAAAAAATAAATTTTACAATGCATTTTACTTTTGTTAGTATTTAGTTAGTAGTTGTTAAGCAATAGCTTTGTCTTCTCTTCCCATATGATGATAATTTTGTCTTTGTTACCGATTAGACAATAATTTGTATGGAGTAAACCAATTAAAATTTGTCCATCTAGCTTCAAGTATGATCACTTTTCCTTCAATAAATTTGCACAAGTACATAGATTAAAAAATAATATAGGGCAAAGCTTGGAAACACTTAGGGTACCTAAAATCCATTGAAGTAATATTCTATTTGGTATATCTAAGGAACTAACTTAAGGTACAATGGAATTGAATAACTTACTCTTATTGGACCTACCCAACTAGTTCCTTATAAGATCTTCGTATAATATTGTAATTTTAAGAATGATTTGATTAAAGAACTTAGTCAAACATTACATGCTTCATTTTGATATAAATCAATTATAACAAACGTGCATGCTCCATTGTTAGTAATGAGCAAAATAGAGCTACCTTAGATTACAACAACAGAATGTAATAACCCACATCGTTAGGAGTGGATTCTAGCATATTGTTAATAATTTATTTTCTAAAATATTTTACTCCTTTTTTACTAACAATACTGACCAAGGAAGAATTTCTAAGAGTTCTAAAACTCATAAAAGTAGGGATATTCATAATCATATATGAACCAAAAAATCGGACTAAACTAGACCAACTAGATTGGGTAGGATTGTACTAAACTTAATTTGGTATATTCTTTACTTTTAAGTTGAAGAACTTGAAAATTTCAATTCAATTTTGTCCGTATTCGAATACACCAAAACTTTATAAAAAATCTTAAATTATAATTGTTTTATTAATTTTATTAATTATTGATTAGATGAATGATTCTAGTTTATGGATTTATTATTTGTTTTAATTTTTATTGATTTTATCAATTATTTTTTAATTCAAAAGTCAATTAGAAAAAAAAAAAGAAGAAATTTAGTGCAATTCGTTCCCATCTTGGGTCTATAAAATATTTACTTTCTTGTATTTGTTTTGGTCTAGTCCAATTCAATTTATTTGAAGTGGTGAACTCTTGTACTAAAAAACGCATCAAACTTACTGGAAATCTCTTCAAACTATGAAGAATTTCTCTTTCATAGTAGTTAGAACTTTTACTCGCTTTAATAGAAAAAACATATTCAACAATTTGTTATTGAGAGAAATATTATGACTTATTTCTACAACTACATAGAAGATTTTAAGAGAAACTTTTCTCCTTCTTTTATAAAGAATTTAGCTAGTAGATCGATAATAAATTCCATAATATTTTTAACTCGTCATATAAGCCATAAGATTTGAGTAAGATTTTAAAATCAATGTAAAACTAAAACCCCAAAAATTTAGAAAACTAATTCAAAGTTATAAGAATAACATAAAAGAGTTCAAACTCAAAGAATTACCTTAAAACTTTCCTCTATAATAATATAAAGATTAAATCATAGGTTAATAAACACGTAGACTACATTCTTTTTATCTGGGTCGAGGAATGGGATTAGGTATATTAAGATAGTTGAATAGGGCGTAAT